ATATATATATATATTTGTTGCAGTTAATAATTAAAGTTACTAACGAAGAACAAATAACAATAAGAGGGAAAGAAGAAAGTCGACGTAAAGGATGAATGATGAAACGTAAAGGATAAAAATATGCGATCTCTTGGCCATCGTTCGACGGGGACATTCGTTTCATCTAAAGGTCCGTTGTCAGCGTGAACACACTTAGAATCCCTCCCCCGATAAATCCCGTAATCCGGCGTGTCACATTAGAAATACGAATTTCTCGTGGCGTTTGTGCGCTTTGCCGAGAGGAAGATTGCACTTTTTTTATATTAGAGGGGCCGTCGGAATCCTGGAGCTTTCCAAGTAACGTAACGCAGACAAATTACACGTGGCAAGGCCACCCCTTTGGACCGTACGTACCCCCGTGTGAGCGCACGTGTACAAACCGCTCTATAATTGGCGATACGTGTGCCGTTCGCAATAGGGTGATTCCTCGACGGAGAAATGAAACGAACTGCGTTTTGCCTTATTTATGATGCCATTTTTCGGATTGCCCGTTTAAACGTACGGTCTATGATCCCTAACGTGTGCTGAAAAATACCTCTGACACCTCTGAGAGGGTGAAATCGATGGAACGAACGTATTCCGTTGGTGAATCACACAAGGATACGATTTAAATGTGAATTTTTCATTTGTCGATCGATCGATAATTTTGCCATCAATCTTACGATTCATCTGTTCTTTGCTGTTGTGTCGAGAATGAAGATTTTTGATCGATCAAAAATTTTGCGATCAATTTTGAACGTATTCCTCCCGGTAAAATGCGATAGAGATATGAAAATATATTCTACAAATCATATAAAATGATATATATATCATATGTTACAAGAACATTGTATATTTTACATATACTTTACGTATAAATTAATTTTTCTGTATGATAAAGGAAGTCGATATGTTTTACATATATTTTATTTATAAATTGGAAACATATATGTAAGAAGATATCCTTCCTTTTCTTTATTATTCATTGTTATTCGTTTTTATACTCTTTAAGTATTTTTATTTAGGCAATTTTTTTAATTATAATTAATTTTAATTATAATTACTGCGTTTCTATTTTGAATTCTATCTCAATTGTTGATAAAATATATTTTGTCGATAAGTTAGAGAGCGATTAAAAAGTTTTCGACGTCAACGCCATCTCGCGTTTGGATTCACGAAGCTCCGACTCGTTACTAGCATAACATGATAGGCAAGGAGGTATGCGAAGTCATAGACAAGGAACGCGACATTGTGCGAGAAGGACAGAGAACATTTAAAAATACGCTACATGGGAAAATCATGAATTACTCGTTTTTTACTGAAAATTTCTGCCCTTTTAAGCATGCATCGTGTAGCTGGAACTCCAGGCAACTTTCTCATATCAATTTTAATACGAAATTCTCTTTATTTATTTAATTATTAATAATTAACGCGTCATACGTTCTAATAAATTAACGACGCCATATTGAAAATTCATTAATAACTCGTTTTCTAGTGAAAATTTCTGCACTTTTAAGCATGCATTTTGTAGCTAGAATTCCAGGCAACTTTCTCATATCAATTTTAATACGAAATTCTCTTTATTTATTTAATTATTAATAATTAACGCGTCATATGTTCTAATATGTTCTAATATGTTAAAGACGCTATATTGAAAATTCATTAATTATTCATTTTTTACTAAAAATTTCTGTACTTTTAAGCATGCATCTTGTAGCTAGAACTCCAGGCAACTTTCTCATATCAATTTTAATATGAAATTCTCTTTATTTATTTAATTATTAATAATTAATGCATCATATGTTTTAATATATTCTAATACATTAAAGATACTATATTGAAAATTTATTAATTATTTATTTTCTACTAAAAATTTCTATACTTTTAAACATGCATCTTGTAGCTAGAACCTTAGACAAGCTTCTTGTACCAATTTTAATGTAAAATTGTTGTTAATTATTTAATTATTAATAATTAACGCGTCATATGTTCTAATACGTTAAAGAGGTTATATTGAAAATTTATTGATTACTCGTTTTCTACT